GGGGCCCCGGCGCCCTCTCCCTGTTCCGTCCCCTCGAGGATCTCGGCGACCCGTCCCTGTCCCGTCCCAGCTCGGGACTTACCGGGTCAAGCCTGTGCGTCATCCTGCGGGCAAGGAGGGCGTCCACAGGCACGGTGACGTCCACGGCGAATCCGGACTAGGGCTCATGTTCTCCACGGACCCTGAAGGCTCGGCGTCTGCGTTCGACGTCCAGTCCCACTCTGCTCTGTCTCTGTTGCCTTCTCTCTTCAGTCAGGTTTGCTCTGCGATAAACACAGCTATTCAGCGCCTTATATACTACGCGATGACGTCAGGGAGCGGAGTTTACCAACGTCGGGAAGGGGGGCCGCGCGGGGGAAAGCGAAGTACGCAACGACGTCACTCCCTCTGCTGCGGTTTCCGTAGATTGAGTCAGCTGGGATCCCCGAGGGCGGGGGAGAGATTCGGGCATGAGAGGGGCGGGGCGAGCAGGGAGCTCGGTGACGTCATGGTCCCGTGCTTGGGGCATCCCGCGCCCAGGAGGTGATTCAGGGGTCTGGAACCTCCGAGAGCAGTCTGGAGCAGCCCAGCCCTGCCCTTCCTCTGGACGGCGTCTCCGTCGCCCAGCCCAGTATCACCCTCGTAGGTGATGAGCTTGCCGTCCAAGACCGTGGCCTAGTCACTGAAAGAAACTGAAGGAATGGTACGGGCCGAGTGCAGAGCCCTGGGGCCCTCCTCTGGAGACTTCCACGCGGGTTTCCGTCTGAGCTGTGCCATGTGCCTCTTTCGTGACCCCTTTGAGCCTCAGTTTCCTCTCCCGTAAAGCGAAGGTGTGGGGTGAGGGCCTTCCTAGCTAAACCTCTAATCCCTCGGATCCCATTAATGGCACAGCACAGCGCACAACCTTCTGGCTGGACCTGTATAACCTCCTCACCCAGTCGGTCAGTCAGTCAACAATCTCAGAGCACAGTCCAGGACAGCCTTCTGGCCCAGCCTTCTCCTGCACCCCGCCCACAGCCCCCCAGACCTCCCGCCCGTCAGCCGGGCTGCATGCTTCCTTTCAGCCAACCCGGGCTCTGAGCCCCCAGTCCATTTACTCTCGGGGACCCAGGAGGCTTGTCCGCAGCCCCTTGAGTCACACCCCGACAGCTGTGGGGGCCGCGGAGCCTTGGGGTCAAGTTAAGGGGAGGGGCCGGGCCAGAGGGAGGGAAGAGCGTGGGTGGAGGAGTTGAGGAACAAGGGATAGACACAGACCAACTGGAGAGAAAGGGAGAGGTCCGGCCAGAGAGAGAGGGAGAGACGGAGAGGGAGACAGGAAGGTATGCGGAGGCCGACAATGAAATCCAGGGTTACAGAGAGCCTGCTGGAGAGCCAGACTGAAATGGGGGGACTGAGAGAGAGGGAGGCATAAACAGAGAGAGGAGGAATAGAAGGGGAGAGCTGGGGGGGGGGGGGGGGGGGGGGGGAGAGGGGGAGGGGGAGAGAGAGGAGGAGGAGAGAGAGAGAGAGAAGGGGAGAACCAGAAGGAGAGAGAAAAGAGGTGGGGAGGGAGGGAAAGGCAGAGAGAGAGAGAGAAAGAGGAAGCCACAGACAAGGAGGAGAGAGAGGAGAGAGGGAGGAGACAGGCAGATGGGGAATAGAGAAGCAAGGGGAGAAAGAGACAGCAAGTGACAGAGAGAAAGAAAACAAGGAGGAGCCCGAGAGAGTCCAAGACAGATGCCCAGAGAGCCAGGGAAACAGAGGCAAACAGGGAGCAGATAGAGGGAAAGAAAGTCAGGGACAGTGAAAGATAAACAAAAGGAAAGAGAGACTGAGAGAGGGGTGAGCCAGGGAATAGAGAGTGAGAGCATTTCGAAACTGAAGAAGGGAGACACAGGTAGGCCTCAGGGCTGGGCTCGTGGTGATCCCATTGCCTTCATCTGGAGACCCTGGTAAGTTTTTCTAGACCTGGGCGTGGGAGGGGGGACACCGACGTGCCTGGGTCCCTTCCTTCAGTAGGGCTGAGGGGTGTGGAGGGATGGGGTTACAAGAGCAGCCAGGCTAAGGGGTGGAAAGGCATTGTGGATCTCTAAGCACGAAGGGAGGGGCAGATTCCTGGCCTGAGGGGGGTGGTCTGGACATAAAGAAGCCTCTTTTCTCTAGCCCCCCCCCCCCCCCCCCAGCAGCTGCTGTAGCCACCCACCCCCTGGCACTGCCCCTCGGTATGTGGCAGGGAGCCAAGGCCTCCCCCAGCCCTGGGCTCTTACCCCATTCTCTAGCCCTCACACAAGGAGGCTTTTCTCCTTAGCCTCCCCCTTGCTGAGGTCACTGACCCTGCCTGGGCTCCTTCTGCTGAACGTCCCTCAGTCTTCTTCTCCTTCTTCAAGCGGCCCCCACCATGGAGGAGGGCAGGCCCCGGAGCAGCCTCAGCTTGGCCAGCAGTGTCTCCACTGTGTCCTCCCTCACCCTCAGCAGCAAGGTGATGCAGGGGGCTGGCTGTGGATAGGGAGGGAGCTGGTGGGCTTCCCTCTCCCTGTTTCAAGGCCCAGGCTCCCAAGCCCTGGGGAGGGGACAGGAACAGGGTGTAGGGAGCACCCAACCCCTGCTGCCTTCCAACACCCCAGAGGCTGTCCGCTGGCCCAACTCCTTCCCAACCCGGGTACTGAGGGGATCCACCCCTGGCAAGAGACCCCGGTTCCTCATTTGTATACTCTTTCCCTGTCCTTTGAGTTGCTCTGGCACAACGGGGCCTTGAGATCCTAATGGGGAGTCAGACTGAGAGAGGAGAATGTAAGCTTCATGAGGGCAAGCACTGCCTCAGGTGTGTCTCTATCCCCAGCACAGTGCCTGACACAAAGTAAGCACCTTTAATAAAGCCTCCATGGGTCAGACTGAATGAATGGAATGAGATCTGAGATTTCTGCCCCCCACCCTGACTCCACTTGGCCTGGACCCTGAGCTTGCCCTGCTGGTGGAACTGAGCCATGCCATTCAATGGGCCTCCAAGCCCAGAGGCCCCAGTGAGGGGAGGGAGAAGAGGATGCGAAGGGCCTTGCTCCCTACAATGGAGCCTTTCAAGGTCTGAGGTTTCGCTGTGCCCCCAGACAGCCCCTTCTCCGCCTCTCTCTCCTCCAGCCCCCCCGGGCAGTCAGTGGAGTCCGTGCCTTTGGGAAAAGGGGAAGCTCCCTCCGCAGGGACCCCAACCTGCCTGTGCACATCCGAGGCTGGCTGCATAAGCAGGTACGGTAGGGCCGGGGCAGTGCCTCGCCCTCTTGTCTGTCTCCTCCCTCTGTCTCCTCCCTAGGCCCTGCAGCTGGGCCCCATCCCCCTATATCCGAGTGCAGGGGGACTCCGGCTTTCACTTGTTCCCTGACTGGCACGCCTTGCAGCTGAGGTGACCCCAGTCTTTGCTGTCTCGCCAGCTCTGTGACTCTCCGTGACTATTTCCCTTCATTTCTGCCTCCCATCTCTACCTAGTACATGCTCAGGTCTTGCCAATATCTGTCAAAACAGCCCTGGTCTCAGGTTCTAAAAATGACTGGTTAGTCCTGTCCTCTGTCTTCCCATCTCCCTCCCTGTTTCCTTATCCCCAGGTCTCTGTCTGCCTGTCTCCCTGTACCCTTCACCCCATCCTCCTGGGGTTTCACCTGTCTCAGGGCACTCAGGTGCCTCTGGTCTCTCTCTCAGGACAGCTCCGGCCTCCGGCTCTGGAAGCGACGCTGGTTTGTCCTGTCTGGCCACTGCCTCTTCTATTACAAGGGTCAGTGTCCAAGGGATGAGGTGGGATGGGCATTGAGGGACCTTCCCCAGTGACCCTTGGCCCTTGACCCCCTTGCAGACAGCCGAGAGGAGAGGGTCCTGGGCAGTGTCCCTCTCCCCAGCTACAGTGTTCGTCCAGATGGGGCTGGGGCCTCCCGGGGGCGCCGCTACACTTTCACTGTGAGTTAGACACAATCCTGGTGTGTCCTTCCTCTCCTCCCCCCCTTTCTGGAACCCTGGCATCCGCTGCTCCAGCTGCCAGCACTTCCCCGCCCCTCCCCCCTTACCTTCTATTGGCTGTAATCCATAGGCTCTGCACTTATCTGTGAATATGTCATCCCCCTCCCTCACCCCAGAATGTAAACTGCTTAAGAGCAGAGACTATCCCAGTCGCACAATCCTGGGGCCAGCATCCAGTGCGAGGCCTGGCAAAGAGCACCAGATAAATGCTTATTCATTGACACCCCCCACCAAGAACTCTGGCATCCCCCAGCCAGCCCTTCCCCTTCAGGCCCAGAAATTCTTTCCCTGAGCATTATGCCTCCTCAGGGACCCAGGCTCTGGGCCCCCTCCTCCTCCTCACTTCCCTCTCCAGGTCGAGCACCCGGGGATGAGGACGTATGTCTTGGCCGCTGACACCGTGGAGGACCTTCGAGGGTGGCTGCGGGCTCTGGGTCGTGCTACCCGAGCTGAAGGGGATGACTAGTAAGTGGGGGCAGGATTATCGCCACCCAAACCCCAGCCCTGACTGGGCCGCAGCTTCCTCATCATAAAACGGGGAGCAATCCAAGACTTCTGTTGTGTTCAGTCCTGTCTGACTCTTCACGGCCCCATTCGGGGTTTTCTTGGCAGAGATGCTGGAGTGGTTTGCCATTTTCTTCTCCAGCTCATTTTACAGATGAGGAAACTGAGGCCAACAGGGTGAAGGGACTTACCCAGGGTCACACAGCTAGTAAGTGTCTGAAGCCAGATTTGAAGTCAGGGCTTCCTGACTCTAAGCCAGGTGCTCTGGGCACTATGGCACCACCTAGCAGCCCCAGAATTCAAGAATCATAAATCTAACAAGGCCATCTCCTCCCACCCTCTCATTTTACAGATGAAGAGACTGAGGCCCCTGGAGGTTCATGGAAGGATTTGACTTAGGTCACGTAGGTAGTAAGCATCCAAGGTGGAATTTGAACCCAGGTCCTCACTAGACCCTGTCTTCTTATCATTGCCCCAGGCTCCCTCTAAGCCTGTGTAGTGGTGAATATGCTGGGTTTAGAGTCAGGGGAGACCTGAGTTCAAATCTCGCATCTGAGACTTAATAGCCATATGACCCGAGGCAGGTCACTTAACCTCCTGAGCCTCAGTCTGAATGAGCCACTGGAGAAGCCTGCCTTAGGTGCTGATAATGTGCCAGGTGCCCTGCTAAGGCTGGTGATACAAGCACAAGAAAGCAAGCTGATCACTGCCCTTGAGGAGAATGCCCTCTACTGGGGGAAGAGGACATTTAAAACTACAAGCAGAAAGGAGGGAGGTGTGTGTGCATTCATGTATGGGTGCATGTGTCCGTGTGAGGGTGTGGATGAGTGCGATTGTGTGTGTCCATGTGTTGTGCACTCGAGGGCATGTATATGCATGGGGGAGTCTGTGTTGTGTGTGTGCATGCATGCGTGTACTGTGTGAATGTATTTGTATGTGAGTGCATACACATGTTCATGTGTGTGGATTGCACGTGGGTGAGCGTGTGCATGTGGGTATGTGTGACGATGTTTCAGCACATTACATGTGTAAATATGCATGAGTGTGTGCCTTGTGTGTCTATTTGTGTGAGTGTATATATATTTTGTGAATGTGCATGTTTGTGTATGTGTATATACGAGTATGAGTGTGTACGAGTGTGTGCATGTGTGTATGAGTGTGTGTGCACATGAGTACATGTGAACATGGGTGTCTAATGTGTACATGTGTATACAAATGTGTGCATGCAAATGGCCTTGTGATTCTCTCCCTGCCAAGGCAGAGCTCAAAGAGCAGTAATGATAATAACCAGCCAGCATTTGTAGAAAGAGCACTTTGAGGTTTTCAAAGCAAACCCTCAAAACACAAGTGCCATTATTATCCCTGTTTGACAGATGAGGAAACTGAGGCAGGTAGAGGTAAAGTGACTGGTCCAGGGTCAGAGGCAGGTTGAGCTCGGGTCCTCCAGACTCACGTCCAGTGCCCTATCCGCTGCACCACCTAGTGGTCAGTTTGACTGGACCGAAGAGGACCAGGTAACATGAGCTTTCAGCCTGTAAGGGTCCTCTCTCCTCTGGCCTCCAGGGCCAGGCTGAGGAGATAGCAATTTGTCCTAGAAGCAATGGGGAGCCACTGAGGATTCTTGAGAGTGGGGGGAAGGTGTTACCTAACAAGATGGCCACGATAGGGGTATAGAAGTCCTGGATTCCAGGGAATGCTCCTGAGTGAGCCCTAGCCCAGAATCCTTTCTGTCTGCCTTCTCTCCCCCTGCAGTGGCTCTCAGACTCCACCTGCTGGACCTCCAGCTGGAGAGGGCCCCGGGGGTCCCGGGGGACCCCCTGAGGTGGGGAGCAGTGAAGAGGGCCGCAGTGCCGAATCCCTGGAGGTGGCCAGGATCTCTGGCAGACACAGGGAGCTCACCCCTAGCCCTCCACCTGGGCTTGTGGAGCCACCCCAGAGGAGCAGGCAAAGGGCAAGGAGTCCTGAGTGAGTGTGTGTGTCTGTATGGAGGTGGGGGGGGGTGTGGGGGGAGGATGGAAGGTCGGGGAAGGGGCACCCAGTCTCAGGAAGCCTCCTTCTCCCCTAGGCTATTTTCTCCTCTCTTCCGGCCCCCATCACCCCTGGGCCTTCCCCGGCCACGCTCAGCCCCTGCCCACCGTCCCTCAGCTCTGGTGGGGGGAGATACCCGGCCCCATACTCCGCTGAGCCGGATTGATGTCCGACCCTTACCTGAGTGGGCCCCAGCCTCAAGAACTCTGTCCCGGCCCTCCACTCCCCGACGCGCACAACCATCAGAGACAGGAGCACTGAGACCCCCCAGGAGCCCCCAGCACTGGGCCACTGAACTCAGGGCCAAGGTGAGTGACCCTAGTGGACAGGAAAACTACATCACCCATGAGGCCTTAGGGCTGCCTAGGTTACAAAACCAACACCTGTGCATCCGAAAGCAGAATGGGAATTGTAGTCCACGGTCAAGCCTATGTGGTCACCTGTGGAAGGGGAGAGTCTGTGAGGCAGTCCAGTCGGCTGGCTGATGACCATTCTTGCTAAGACATTATGGAGATTTTTAGGTCGTTATCGGCTGGGCTTGGGAAGGCCACCGATGCTTATGGAGTTCCATCACCACCCATGGCTCCCAGAGGCTTTTGGGGATTGTTGCCAGTTTGCCCCTTAGTGGAAGACACTGAGGCCGGTGGTGGGGCCCCCTGGGGAGAGGAAAGAGCCCTTCCCTTGTGGTGGAGCCAGGAAATCCTACCTCTGAGGCTCCGAGGTATTCCCCTTACATCCCCCACCTCTCGAGGTTCCTTCACACTTACAGTGACCCTGAGCAGTGTACTACATACATCTCCCAGAATCTCGATTTTCCTACCTTTGAAAGGAGGAAGGAAGATACCTGTGGGACCCCCCCACTCCCTAAATTGCGCCTGGAAAAGTTCTTAGTAACCCTGCCTGCACCGTAGCAATGAATGACTGGAAGACGCCTCTTACTTTGGACTAGGCACTATGGCTCACGGGGACAAGGGAGAGGAGCCCCTGCCCTCGCTGAACTTACATTCTAAATCGAGGTGGTGAACCTTGCTCTGAGCACACCCCTCTGCCCCCCAATCCTTTCCTAATGTCTCCGCAGGCAGTGTCTGGATATCTACCCTTGTCCCCCAGGCCCCCGGGAAGTCGGGGCTCCGTGGCCTCTTTGGTAGGTGTCTCCCCGCCCGCCCCTTACGATGGAGCAGCGTTCTGTCACCCTTAGAAGCTCGGGCTGCGGGGTCCCAAAGGCGGATGCTCATCTGGTTTCCTTTGCAGCAGCCTCCGCCCCTGCCGTCGGGCCCTGGACTGGATTCTCCGCTTCACCGCAGCGCTGACACAGATGTGAGTCTGGGGCCTTGTGAAGCGGAGGTGGCGGTGACACGGGTGGGACAGAGCTCCTTTACCGCCTCTGGCGGCATTCTGGGGAGAGGGAGCAACTTCTGACTTAGGCCCGGTCTCTGGGCCCCGCAGGCGCTCCTGACTAAGCTTTGCGGGCAGGACCGGCTCTTGAGGAGGCTGGCAGAGGAAGTGGCAAAGAACCAGGAGGAGAAGGTGTGTCGGGGCAGGGGAGGGGAGGGCGTGGCAAGAGCTGAGGCTCGTGGAGGACGTGGAGCTAAGCCAAAGAGAGGCGGCATGGTGAGGCAGGGGAGGGGAGGAGATGGAAAGCACTGAGGACCGGGAGCATTCGAGGGCGATACAGTGAGAGCTAGGGGCCAGCTAGGGCCTACATCAAATGTAGCCAAAGGGAGAAGGTGAAGTCTGAGGGGCAGGGGCACAAGGTCACGAGGAGGATGGCTTCCTGCACCCACTCTAACCATCCTCCCCTCCTCGATGACAGGAGAGGCTGGAAGCAGCCCTGGAGCTGACCCGCCGGGCTGTGGGGGAACCTGGGCCCGGAGGCAGGGCCTGGTCTCGCCTGCGGCTTCTGCAGGACCGCCTGGTGGGCGTCAGAGCAGCCCTCTGCCACTTGGCCCAGGTGAGGGACCCGAGTGAGCACTACCGACACACAGCCTACCCTGAGGCCACTAGCCATTCTCATGGGAAATGTTGTCCTTTCTGACCCTGGCTGGCTCTGCCTTCTTAGGGGTTTCTGGCAGTCATAGCCTTCAGCATCCTGGAGACAAACCAGGGAAATGGGGGGGAGTGGAGTTTACCGGAGCTGGGATGGAGCCTCACCCTGCACCTCCCTTTTTTCCTGTCCTTGGAGGAAAGGGAGCGGGTTTGGAATACCTATAGCGGCCTGGAGCAGGAGCTGGGAACTCTGCGGGAGACCCTGGAGGATCTGCTTCACCTTGGGCCTCCTCAGGTACTGGGGTCTTGAGCCAAGCCTCCCCCCATTCCCTCTCCCTCAGCTGCTCCAAGCCCCGCCTCTCCTGCCTAAGCTTCTCCTCTTCTCCCCTGCCCACTTCCCAACCCTTAACCCTTCCAGGCCAGGGTCTCTGCTCAGCAGCAGCTATGGATGGTAGAGGACACATTGGCCGGACTGGGAGATCCGAATTGGGGGCGTCCCCACGGGGATGGAGATGGAGATGGGCCTGGTGCCCTGCCAGGTGAGATACGCCCTTTAGGGTCCCCAGCTTTTTTCATGCCCACTACAACCCTCCTCTGCACTCCACCCAGGTCCTGGATCACCCAGCTCTCCCCGGGCCCAAAGCCCAGACGGCCAATGCTCTCCATCCCCTGCCCCATCTCCATCCCCACCACCACCAGCTGGGCCTAAGGTAGGAGCCCAAGGAAGACCCCAGGTTACTGTAGAGACATCAGGATCTGGAGTGTGGGGAGGGGGGAGTACAGTCCTGGCTCTGCCACTGATAGTGGCCAGGGTGACCTTTTGGTTCCTGGATATCTCTGGGCCTTAGTCTGTAATATGAGGGAATTGGACCTAAACTGCACATCTCTTTTGTCCCATGACCTGAATCTCCAGGGTCCCTGGGAGCTTAGGGTTCCTGTCCCTTCCTGCTCTCATCTGCAGGCTTCAGCCTCCCGGGTCCGGATGAGTGCTCAGGAGCAGCTTGAGAGGATGCGGAGGCACCAGGAGGCCGGGAGGCTAAGGCTCCGGCCACTGTCTCCTGGGGGAGTTGGTCCCTCAGCAGTTCGAAGGCAGCTAGAGCCTGGGTCAGAGAGAGATGCGGTGAGCCAGTCTTATGTTTGGCTTGGAACAGGCTGGGCTACCGGCAGGGGTAGGGCCGGGGGAGCCAAATTTCATCTCAGAGGAAGCAAGGCTGGGAGTTAGACACTTGAGTCCCCATGGCCCCTCGCCCTGCCCTGGAATGAGCCAGCAATTTACATTCCAGCTTCTCTTCTCTTAGCCTCTTCTGGACTCCATGGGTCTTACAGGGGCTCCTCAGCAGTGGACCCGGAGTTCTGGGTCCTGGAGCAGGTAAGAAATTTGGGCTAAGTGGAAGATGACAGTGGCCCCTGGCACCCAGGTCATGCAGCTCAAGACTCTTTCCCCAGTCACTGTGTGATGTTCCCCTTCCCTGGGCCTCAATTTCCCCATCAGTAAAGTGAAGGCAGAGTTGGACTCAATGACTTTTAATAGCCTATCCCCTCTAGGAAAGCCCTAGCCCCAACTCTCCCACAATCTTTTCTGCTGGGGAAAGGCAACATAGCTGATTTCAGCCTGGGCTGGTGTGATACAATATATCATGTATTGAGCTCTGTGAGCCGGGGCTGGAGATAGAAAGAATGAAAAAGCCCCAGCTCTCAAGAAGCTGGTTGTCTTGCCAGGAGGTATGGTAGGAAAACAGGGCTCAATTTGGAGTCTGGCTTCAACTTCTAACTTTGTCAGTTAGCTATTATCTGTGTGACCCTGGGTAGATCACATGCCCTCCCTTCCCCTCGCCTGATTCCCCGGATTCATCTGATCAGTAACTGATATTGTGGAGGTGTAAATAAATGTAGGCTCCCCTTCTGAGCCTGGGGGAGGGGGAGCGTCTGAATTAGTCACCTCGATTCCCCGGGCCGCTTCAAATCGTCACGTAGCTTGGAGAATCAAATATCCAGGCCAGATTTCCCACGACTCGCCGATTCCCTTCCCTCCCTACGTTTGCAGCTCTCGGAGTCCCCGGTCCTACATTCCAGCCCCTGAAGGACAGCGGGAAAGGGTCCTCAGCTTGTCCCAGGCTCTGGCGACCGAGGCTTCGCACTGGCATAAGTTTATCACAGGTCAGGGACTTGGGGGACAGGGGATACCGGGCCCCTCGTGGGGACTGCGGTCAAGAGACCTTGAGATGGCTGTGAACCCGAGCGCTTGCCTCCGGACTCCTGGGTCCCGAAGGGAGAGGGAGCTGGGTAGCCGGGACTCCTGGGCTCGGGAGGGAGAGGCGGAATGGGTAGCCAGGACTCCAGGGCCCGGAGGGAGCGCGGGGCCGGGAAGCCGGGCCGCCCGAATCTCCGGCCCGCGCGTTTGACCCATCTGCTGATTCCGTCCAGGTCGAAGAAGCCCCGAAGCCGCTCCGGACTCCGCTTCCAGGTTGACCCCGCCCCCTCGCTCGCCTCCCGTAGGGTCCCCGCCCCCCGTGGGGCGGGGCCGGGGGAGCCCCACCTCCTGGGCCCCTACGTGGGGAGGGGCGGCTCCGCCAGACGAAGGGAAGTGGCCTCTGCGGGTCACGCTGCTGCAGTCCAGTTTCTGACACGCCAGTGGAGCTGCAGCCAATTGGATGCAAAGGCGGGGTCAGGCGCTGACTGGCTGAGGTGCGTTCCTCCAGCCCTCCATTCTGTACCAGTCTTGATTAAACTCGGTTGTGACTCAGGCCCCGGCTCCGCCCTCCTTTCCTTCTGGGGGCCCCGACGTCTCCCTCCCTGAGTGGGCTGAAGCAGAGGGAGGGCACGCCCAGCTCCTCCAGGGTCTCTGTCTGACCCTCTTCCCTCCAGCCCTTTTGGACGCCAGAACTACATCTCCCAGTAGGCTAAGGGGCGCTTTCCGCCGTCGGCCTTGCTCTTCTGCCCGCGGGACCTCGTGGGAGTTGTAGTTTTTTTTTGACAATTCCCTAACCCGAGGATGGGGGGCGGTGCTAGGGAAGGGTCTTCTAGGAGCCTGGGCGGGGTTTGTGGAAGGAGACGCCTAGATCTCCCAGGTGGTGACCCGGCCAAAGGTCTTATCCATCTTCGTTGGAGGGGTTAGAAGAGGGGTCCAAGGATTGTGGGCGGAGGGAAGAGGAGCGAGGAGAGGAAGAGGATGGTCGCTGGAGGTCTTTGGACCTAAAAGGGGCGGGAGCTGCTGTGACAGCGCTTTTCTAGTCTGGACTCAAGGTCTAATCCCGGTGGCTGCGGGGGTGGAGGGACAAACACGAAAGGAAAGACAATCGTCCCACTTGAGGGCGCCGGTCCACGGGGCTGCAAATGGCTGCGGGTCCTAGCAGCGAGGGTCGGGTGGTCTTGGTGACCGGCGGTGCTCGGGGTATAGGCGCTGGCATCGTGCGCGCCTTCGGTGAGCCTGAACTTGGGGAGGGCTGTGGAGGGGATGGCCCTGGACTCCCACGATCCGGGATGATGGGCCCTCACACTCCCGTCGTGCGAAGGACCCTTTAGCCAGACGTGTAGCCTGAGGTCGAGAAAGAGGCAGTATCTGGTTGAGTGAATAGTGTTCCAAGCTGGGGTAGGGCTGGAAGAGGGGATTAACCCCTCGGATGGGTCCCCAGGGGGTGTGGGACAGGGCCCTCGAGACTCGGCTAAAGTGGGTCAAGGGAAAGGAGACGCTTGGACTTGTGTTGTGAGAGGCCGCGGAGATGGGGCTATCGGAAAGAGTCGCCTAGGTCCTGGGGATCTTGTGCCCAAGGCCGAACCTGCCTTTGGCCCTAGCTATCACGGGATGGAAACCACGAGTTAAGGGAGGGAAGTTCTGGGGCCACCAGCCGGGCCCGAGAAGGGGAACCTAAGGGTCTGAAACCCTGCCCCACCAACTGTCTCCAAATCCACCTACCTCCTTTGCCTTCTAGTGGAGAATGGTGCTAAAGTGATTATCTGTGACAAGGATGGTAAGTGAGAGACCCGGGTGATCCCTTCAGCCCCTGCCCCACCAAGGCAGTGACCAAGGTGTCCTGTCCACCGCCCCCTTCCTCTCAGGGACCCAGGATCCCCCTCCCCCAGCCCCTCAGTGATCAGGACCTCCCTCTCCCCTAGCCCTTCAATAATCCTATGTCCTATCTGCCAGCCTCCTCCCTCTGAGGGACCCAGCATCTCCCCTCCTCTAGTTCAGTCCCCTGGACCCCCTGCTACCATTCAGATCAGAACCCCAGCCCTGCTTTCTCCCCAGAGTCAGGTGGCCAGGCTCTTGAAAAGGAATTGTGTTTGGTCCAGCCACCAGCAGGAGCTGTCTTCATCCGATGTGATGTGACCAGAGAAAGAGAAGTGGAGGTGAGCTTCCCCTCCCCCTGTTGAGGTTTAGAGGTGCTGGGACCCCAAAATAGGGACACAGGGGAATGAATTTGACCCAACCCTTCTTTCTGCCAAAGACTAGGTTTATTAAAGATTCACCATGTTGGCCAGAGTCTTAAGGAATCTGAGCATTTGTAACCCTGGTATTGTCTAGATTTTAAGAATCTGAGTGCCTTAATGGAGACAAGATGGATCTTATGTACAGAAAGACTGTGGGAGGGATCTAGGAGCGGCCAAGTAGTCTGGGGTGACTAGAGAAGAGGGTCTAGGGAGGATCTGGATGGGAGTGACTGGTAGGTAGAGTGGGGTCTGGATAGGATTAAGGGTGGGGAAGTGGCCAGGGTGCTATCCCAGGGTAACAGACAATGGAGGGCTGGACTAGGTTAAGGGTAACAGAATTGGGAGATTGGGTGTAGGCCTTATTGAAAGCCAGTTAAGATTATAGCCTCAGGCAAATGCTAGAAAGGTCCTTGATCAAGTGGGAAGAGAATTGAGGGGTAGGGTTTCCAGGGCCAGTACCCTCTCACCCTCTCTCTCTCTCTCTACCCTCTCTCTCTCTCTCTCTCACACACACACACACACACACACACACACACACACACACACACACAC